CACCTGCTGTGGACACTACCTACACCCCCTGGCCACCCTGCTACCTACTACATTCCTGATGGTACAGTTGTCACCACATCACCAAATGTGTCCTCCCACCCAACAATTATACGGTTTGAACCGACGGGATTTGAACGGGAAGTAAGCACCGATGATGTTATTACACGTACACCGACACCATCCACTCAGAAAGGTATTATATTGCATATTTGTCTTTGTTCTGGCAGTTCAGTATTTCTAAATGCTAGGGCGTTGCTAGGATATGGAATGCTTCTTCTCCTCCTTCTGCCAAGGGATCCATTACGGTCACTCCTAGGCCAAATGATCTGAAGCACATTTTTCTTTACGTTTCTGCGCAAGTGTTGACAGTCGATGGTGTTCCATCACATATGATTAATTATGACTACCTAGCATAGTAGCTACCCATGCTGCTCTTTTTCTACAATTGTTCTAGTTGATTGAGATGTATATTATACTACACTATTGAATACAGGAATAGAAGACCTATTGTTTGTGATATCATGTTTTGTTGCCTCTGTTCCTGTTTCATATGTTTATGATCTCAAAATTTGTTTTTCTTTTGCCTGCCTTGTTTTTTTTTGTATCGCAAAATGCCCATCGCATTAAATTTGGAGTCTGCGTAGGACGCTATCCATCAAATTTACTTCCTGTGGCCTTACGTGTTTTGGAAGTAACACATAAATCATGTGTAGATACAGATTCATTAAGCGGCATTAAGCTACACATTTGTTTTTCAACAAACACGTACAGATTGTCAAAACGAAGACTACGTTCGTTTTAACGTTGTTTGCTACAAGAGTTTTAGGGAGCTACTGACGCACGTTGAGGCTAGACAGACTTGTGCGACAGACGGGGGATTTTAGCCATGCCAAAGGAAAGTGCCACCAACACTCTAATCTAGCAGAAGTAGTATGGGGTCATGGGACCAGTTTTTGCCCGAAGGTTGATTGAGATTTCAAGTGAAATATAACAATGCCGATGTTAGTCTTCTCGCCTGGGGCAGGTATCAGTGACAATGTGGCCCTGGGTAAGCCAGCGTACCAATCAAGCATGTTGGGGCCGGGGATATATAGCGGTGATGCCAGTCGTGCCGTAGACGGGAACACCGATGCCGACTACCAAGCCGGTTCCTGTACACACACTGCGCTCGCAGGTGGTCAGGGAGAGAATGGTCCAAGCTGGTGGGTGGATCTTGGTCGACCGTATATGGTAAAAAGGTACGTGTACAGTATTGGAATCTCCTTCCAATACCAACATGCCGAATTTCTGACCAATTCATTAAAATGATCTTGATTCATAGGTGCGAAGACACTGACCCGGAAAAAAGAATTTGTCAGTATAAATCATCTTAGCAAAGGATGGCCTCGAACATATATGATATAAGGCTCCATTGTCACAATCACGGCATTGCGTCATCTTCAATATCTACAGAGTTGTCATCTTCAATCGCGGGGACTGTTGTCAGAAACGACTCAACCCCTTCAACATCCACATCGGGGATTCAGACCAGGTCAGAAAGAACCCCATGTGTGGTGGCTATTATGACATCAAGCTGGACCGGCCGTCTATTGCCGTCGCGTGTGGGGGGGATGAAGGGGCGGTATGTGGGCGTTCGTCTTCACGGATCCAACCGAATACTGACCCTGTGTGAAGTCAAAGTCTTTTCGGGTAGGCCTTTGCTATATTTACTTAACATGGCTATGACATGTGTAACGGTTGTGGGGACCATTATATAGGTATCCAGCCGTGTGGTCACACGTGTATGTTATCTAGCTATAACGTTACAATGCCATGGTATGATAACGATCACGGTTGTACTCATTCACCTTTAAGGTCCGTTTGTAATACTGCTTGGACCAAACACTGGGAAAAGTTGCTCATTTGGTCATGTGATGTCTATCCACCCTAATAGAACCAATACACGCAGCTTCTATGAGGAAGTGGCGCGACGACTGGCGTTGCGGTCAGGGTTACCCAGCAGAGAACGGTCACCCCGCTGAATGTGACCTTCGCGGTGAACGGCCATGCTGCTCCCCGGGAGGCTGGTGCGGGCCAGACTGTGACTGCCAGGGTTGTGTCGACTACAGGATCTTCACGGACACGGGCACAGGTCTGATACAACACACGCCTACACGTACAAGCACACTCACGCCAGCAAACACACACACACACACACACACACACACACACACACACACACACACACACACACACACACACTACGTACG